CCCCCTCCCCTCCACTCTCCCCAGGCCGAGGATGAGCCTCCCCCGGTCGTTGCCTCCGACGGCCTCCACTTCATCTACATCAAGCATAATGATCTCTACCGTATGTCGATCTCCCTCCTGCCCTGCCTCTTGCGGGCCTCCTCCCGCCCGCCCACCTGTCCCCTCTCTAACACCTTGGCTAATGTGGGGGGGGGCAAAAAAAAACACCCCAGTGGTCGGCATCACCCGGAAGAACACCAATGCCGCCGCGCAGCTGGTCTACCTGCACAAGTTCCGCGCCATCCTCGAGGATTACTTCCGCACCCTGCGCGAGGAGTCCATTCGCGACAACTTTGTCCTCATTTACGAGCTCCTCGATGAGACCATGGACTTCGGCCACCCCCAGTTCACCGAGCCCAGCATCCTGAAGGAGTGCGTCGCCCCATGCCCATGCGCCGGGTCCTCTTGCCAGCGGCCCCCTCCGCCGTCGATCGGCCTTGGCCTGCTGCCTGGCCTCGTTTGTTGACCATATGCCACTGTCCACCTCCCTCCCACCCCCGTGCGCCTCCTCGGATAGGTACATCACCCAGGAGTCCAATGCCCTGGACATCATCACCGGCGCGGTTGGCCTTGGCTCCGGCATCCCCTCTCAGGCCAGCACCCCGGGCGGCCCGCGCCCGCCGCAGGCCGTCACCAACGCGGTCTCCTGGCGCCCGGAGGGCATCCGCCATCGCAAGAACGAGGTCTACCTCGATGTGGTCGAGTCCATCAACCTGCTGGTTCGTGTGTCCCCTCCGGCTGCCATGTCACCCTGGCATGCATTCTCACCCCCTATTGCCTCCTCCATTCGACCATCTCCCTTCTCTCCCGTCCGGGTGGCTTGGGTCTCACAGGCCAACCCCGATGGCACGGTCCTGCGCTCGGAGATCATCGGCGCCATCAAGATGCGCGTCCAGCTGAGCGGCATGCCCGAGCTCCGCCTCGGCCTCAACGACAAGGTTCTTTTCGAGTCCACTGGCCGCTGTACGTGGGACATTCGCCCGAACATGGCCCCCCCCCCCCCTCCCCTCTCTCACATTCCTCTCTCCCTTTCTCCCACTCCCTCCCGGGTCTCTCAGCCACCAAGGCCAAGGCTGTCGAGCTGGAGGACGTCAAGTTCCACCAGTGTGTGCGTCTGTCGCGCTTCGACACCGACCGGACCATTTCCTTCATCCCCCCTGATGGCGAGTTCGATCTGATGACCTATCGCCTGAACACTCCGGTCCGCCCGCTGATCTGGGTCGAGAGCATTGTCGAGACCTACTCCGGTACCCGTGTGGCCTACCTGATCAAGCTTACCGGCCAGTTCCGTCGCCGGTCGACCGCCAACAGCATCGAGGTGGCCATCCCGGTGCCGGATGATGCGGACACGCCGAAGTTCCGCCCGGCTGTTGGCTCGGCCCGCTACGCCCCGGAGCGTGGTGCCATCATCTGGACCATCAAGCTTCTGCCCGGTGGTCGTGAGACTGCCCTCCGCTGCAGCTTCGGCCTGCCGTCCGTTCGTCGCGGTGCGTACATGATGGACCGCGGCGGCGGGTAACCTGCCTGCCTATTTGCCCTCTCCCCGGCCTGGCCGCCGGTGTTCCCGCGAAGGATGTGGGCAGGAGGAACACCGCGATCCCGCGGGAAGGGGGGGGGGGGGGGGCTGCATGCCGGGGCTCGAAGCTGTCCACTGACACGTTGCCATTTTCTTCCTCTCCGCCTCTCGCGCACCACAGCCGAGGACATTGCCAAGCGGCCTCGCCCCATCGGCGTCAAGTTCGAGATCCCCTACTTCACCACCTCCGGTCTGCAGGTCCGCTACCTGAAGGTTGTCGAGCGCAGCGGCTACCAGGCTCTTCCTTGGGTTCGCTACATTACTAAGAACGGCGGTACGTGGGCGGCAAAAAGCATCCCCTCCTCTTGAGAAAAGAGAGTGTGAGAGGGTGGTCTCTGCGGCCTCGGGGGGAGGGGGGGGGGGGGGCCTTCGTGGCTGTCGCTTTCTGCTTCGCCCACTGTTCACTGACACGCTTGCCCCGGCGTATGTCTTTCCTTGGCCGCTCCCATTGCCCGTTTTTTTTCTTCCAGACTACGATATTCGCATGGCCGAGGCCGTTGCTGTTGCGGCCAACTCCGAATCTGCCCTCAACAATGCTGCTGCCTTTGGTGCGTACGCCCCGATGCCCTCTTGTCCTGAGTTGGCCGCGCCGTGTCCTCCTGTGTGTCGTCACATCGCTGACATTCCTCTTGCTTCGGCCTCTCTCTGGACCTCCCCTGCCTCCCCCCCTCTTCCGGCCTCGCTTGTCCTCGAACGATCGGCCAATGTTGAATGCGTGTCTCCACTCACGACAGCTGAGGGCAATTAAATGCTGCGATCGCGTGGTGGACTCCGCCGCGGGGCCTCGAGATTGGCGCCAGTGCCCGATGTCTCCCCTCTTTCCTTCCTCACTACACACCCTCATATACAACCTCATATGCTCATAACTTCACACGTGCACGTGCATATGCATCCATGCCGCCCCATACACACGCACATACGCACATCTCCCGCCCATATGTGCCAAGGATCCTGCCATCCCCTCCTTGAGCCTTCAGAGAGGTCCCCAGTTTGATTGCCATCCATGTGCGCCGCGCCTTTCTCCGCCTGCGGCAATGTGCTCCCCTTCCGCTCGCCAAGCAATATATAAAGCCTACCTTCTGTCGGTCCCCCTCTCCCTGCCATCCAGTGGGCGGGAGGGACGAGGGCCTTGAGCGCGGGAAGTCCGGCCAATAACCAAGGCCACCACTCGGCACAGGCGAGCATCAGAAAGAATGGAGGCAGGTGGAGTGGGAACTATTATTCTCGCATGACAGCCTTTACCCTCGAGGGCCTATTGGGTGGGGAGGGGAGGGGAGGGAGGTAGAGAGGGCGAGAGAGGAGGGGACAGAGGGCGAGAGAGATAGAGAGAGAGAGGGAGGGAGGGAGAGGGAGAGAAGAACATAACAGAGAAAGGGGCTTTAGGTGTAACAACTTGACAGGCATGCATAGTGGAGAAGTCAAGTGCGGACTCCCGCCCCAGTTGTGAAGAACAAGGGACAAATGCAGTCGGCGTGTTTGTGGGTGGGTGTGTGTGTGTGTGTGTGTTTGACCTTGATGGAGTCCGCAAGTAGTCCAAGCACTGGGCCGGCCTATTGGCCGAGCACAACAGCAGGGAGCTACAAAGAGAGGAAAGTACTCAGAGGGAAGCCTCGAAGGAGGCACACAAGAGATTGAGCCCCGGGCTGCTGACTGAGGTCCCTTCCCACAGAGCGGCATCCTCGCCCGAGAGGGTAACACTCGGGCACGGAGGCCAGACAAACGGACATGCTACGAACGGATACCCAGCGAGAGGAAGGAAGATGAGGGACAAGGTGCGAAGGGAAGAGAGAGAGAGAGAGAGGGAGGGAGGAAGAAGGCAAGGGAGGACAACCGGGGGAAATGGGTGTTGCACATCGAAGTCTAATTTGGAAAGGATAAGAAAAGGGTAGGGGGGAAAAAGAGAAGAGGGCGCGACACGCAGCCACCCTTCACAAGGGACGAGGAGGGAGAAGAGAGGAAGATGATGATGGAGATAGGAATGGGGGAGAGGGGGGGGGGATAGAAGGAGGGGGAGAAGGAGAGAGCACTTCCGCTCATGGCAGCTACGGTGCCCCTTAGTTCGCGCGAGTGGCACGCTGCTTGGCTTGAGTCTTCCCCGGCGTGGCAGCCGAGCTGCGAGCCGCAGCATTGAGAGCGGCATTGGGCACTGTGGAGCTGCCAGCCGCGGGGACACCCTTGATCGGGGCGACGGGCGTGGCATCGGTGGCCTCGAGGACCGGCGTGCTGCCCGAAGCACTGGCCACAGAAGGCTCCTCACGGATGTCGGACATGGGGTTGCCGAGGAGTGTCCGCACGACGATCTTCATGATGAGGTAGAACCAGAAGACATGCAGGGCCTGCAGGATGGCCAGCAGGCAGTTGAAGATGACATACCCGTGGCCGACCTTCAGGAAGAAGCTGGCCTCGAGCAGGGTCGAGCGCAGGACGAACCCCGGGAAGAGGACCAGACGCGTGATGAAGAAGGCCAGGGTGAAGGCCACGAAGAAGACCGCCGAAATGGATTCCCGGCCGACATAAACGAAGAGCTTGGCAATCTCCATGAACGGGTCGCTCAGATCATGCAGGACCATGACCAGCACGCCGACGCGGTAGAAGCCAATCGACAGGGAGAGGACAATCAGGAAGATGGTGACCGCGTGGTGAACCCACATCTGCATGCGATCATCCAGGCGCGGCTCGTGGTACAGGACGAAGCAGGTTTGCAGCCAGTAAGCCAGGTCGAAGAGGTAGAACTGCTTGACATCGGGCCTAGACCGGGGACAGGACAGGGAGGTTAGACAGAAGTGCAAGAGGATGGGTAGGGGGGAGGGGGCGAGAGCGGGAGCGCGAGGGGGGACAGAGAGAAGGAGGGAGAGAGGGAGAGAGGGAGAGAGGGAGA